CCGAGGCTTGCAATCCCATTGCCGGTCCCCGGTCCGGTACGGGGGCAACACTGAGGGTTGCGATCCGTTGCCGGACACGGGAAAAAAAAAAAAAAGACAAAAAAAAGTCTGTTGAAAAATGGAATTAAAATATAATATGAGGGGCTGGCCGGTTAACTCAGTTGGTTTACATTGCAGTGTTATAACACTAAGGTCAAAGGTTTGGATCCCCATACCAGCCAACTGCCAAAATAAATTAAATAAATAAGTAAACAAATAAAAAAATAACAGATAATATGAATCTTTCCATGAAATTTTTACGGTACCCTCCTATATACGTAAAGTATGATTGAGCTGTATATTTAAGATCTGTGCATGTTTATATAAATTGTCTCAATTTTAAAAATTAAAAAAGTGAAACAAAAAAACAAAAAGAAACCATTAAGCATACCAGCAAGTGAAAAAAGCAGGATGCAGAAAGCCATTGTAAGTAAATAATAATAACGAAGTGACTACATATATCTGCTTGTAAATGTAGTTTATGCACAAGGATAAGTAAGAAACTAGAACCACTTCACAGTTCCCATGAAGGGGAGGAATGAGGATGGTAAAGTGAGCGAAAACTATTTATCTTTAAAAATTATAAAAATATATCAAAGTAATGCAAGTCACTAGGGTTTTGTTTTTTGTTTCCGGGGCTGGCTGAGATGGTGTGTTACTTGGTTTAAAAAGCCAAGAGGTGTTCTGGCACCAAGATCAAGGGTTCAAATCACCATGAAAAGAATCTTAGCCAGAAAATAGCCATCTTTGGGGTAACTAAGAATAAGCAGAAAATTTCAGTTAGCCATTAACTTAGGAACTGATAATCATCAATTCCTTGAAGTTAGCCTAGAAATTGATGAACTGACCCTACGGCTGAAACTGCCTGGAGATGAAATCATGCCCTAAAAGGATCTTTCTCAAAAGTTTATTTCTGTTTATCTCCCATTACACCCTTATGTGATTTACTTTAGATGCTGTGCAGCTACCATTAAGAACTGTAACTAAGTTTTCTGGGCCAGCTGTGGCTCACTCGGGAGAGTGTGGTGCTGATAACACCAAGGCCATGGGCTCAGATCCCTATATAGGGATGGCCGGTTGGCTCACTTGGGAGAGTGTGATGCTGACAACACCAAGTCAATGGTTAAGATCCCCTTACTGGTCATCTTTCTAAAAAAACAACAAAAAAAGAATGGAAAATAAGTTTTCTTGTTTTTCTCACCTTTCCTAATGGACCACAAACAAAGGAATTCCAAGAGAAAGGCAAAGCACCCTAGCTAATTATTTACTCACCTTCTTGCCTAAAGGAAAATTGCATCCACATTAATTATAGGTACTGAGTCAGATATTTTTATGTTCCAGTGATGTTTGACTGAGATTATTGTCTTTGAGCTCTCCCTAGGAGATAAGGATTCCGATTCCGAAATAACATCAAGGGCTTGAAGCTGACCAGTCCACCAACTGCAGACTCCATGACGCCAAAGCACCCAGCCCATGATGGGACCCTGACATCTGACTCAGACCCTCTGCTGATCCTGTGACCAGCCTCCCCGTGTGCCTGCAGTATACAGTCCTTACCTCACCTTCCTGCCTCTTCCCCTTTGTAAACCCCAGAGCAGGCATCAGAATGTGGGATGATTTTAGCCTGGTCACCTCCCAGATGCCAATTATCTGAATAAAGCTTCCAATCCTCACACCAACTTTGGACTTTCGGGTCATTTATTTATTGCGAGAGGGCAAGCTGAGCCTGTTGCCAGTTAACAACACATGCCAGAACCGAAAAAAAAGAAAAGCCAACAGGAAAACTTGTAGGAAAGGGTTACGGTCCCCTATCACACCCATCCCACTCCCCAGTCCATCTTTCCCAAGGAAAACTGAGAAAAGCCTATTTTAAACATCTAAGATTCTGTACTTAACATCACTTTGAAAGTGTCTATGTTTTTCCTTCATTTTTACTAATGCACTAGTTTAATCGTTGCCTAGTTGAAAATTCTAAAAGTACAAAAAATTTACAGGGCTGGCCGGTTAGCTCAATGGGTTAAAGCGCGGTGCTGGTAACAGCAAGTTCATGAGGTTCAGATTCCCATACCAGCCAGCAGCAAAAGGAAAAAAAAAAAAAAAAAAAAAAAAATTACAGTAAAAAGTCTTCGCCCAACCCCTGTCCCCAGGGATCTAGTTAGTTTCTCTCCCTGGGGGCCTCCACTGCTACCAGTTCTTGCACATCATTCTACAGACATTCTGTTACACTGCTGTATTTTTAATTCTTTCATGGTTTTCTCCATGTCTCTATATGACATGCTTATAATATTATTATTGCTTCGTATTTCACCTTCAGTCTATCTATTGACTTCCTACTATGACCATGAAAATGGAGACATACTCCTTAAGTCCTTTTGAACCGTATGAATTTTTTAAATCACAGACCAGTATGATTTCTTGAAACATTAAAAATAAACTTTTAAAAGGGCATTTATATAAGTTTCAAACAAATCAATAAACAAAACTTACTCCGAGAGATTGGAGAACTAATTAACATTGGGGTTAAGCCAGAGTTTTCACGTTAATTTACAGAAATTCACAGCCTGATGCCCACACACCACACCTGGAGGGTCCGGGAACTGCCTCCACGCCCCTTTAAAAAGGACTGCGACTCCTACGGCCCCGCCCCCCGATGTTAAACAGGTAAACGAAGCCTCTATGGAGGCCTCCCCTTAAAGGGGAAATCCATTTCTGTCATCTAAAAAGGGAGCTTCCTCCAGCGCCTTCCCTTAAGGTAAAACACGCCCCTCGCCCCTACAGTTAAAGGGGTAAAGTCCTCGCGGGCCCCACCTCACCTGTGCGGTGACTTTGTACTCGGTGTAGCCCTTGGGGTGGGTCCTGGGGTCGGAAACTGTGTAGTGCCGCAGGAAGTCATCTTTTGCCCGGCGGGACATGACAATCGACGGGGAGCAGAGGCGACCGCCGGCCTCCACCTCCTCCGCGCCGCCCCCGCCCCTTCGGGCCCGCCTCCGCCCGCCGCCGCCTCGCGGGCGCCTGCGCCCTTCTTCCTCCTGCCCAGGGAGCTGGTCGCAAGTGACGACGCGGTTCTCAGCCCGGGCTCGCGGCCAAGGGAGAGTCTGAAAAGTTCCCTGACGCTGGTAAAGCGTAAACCTAGGTGATTCTGAAGTGAAGATGGGTTGCGGAGGTCTCATCTCTCCTCTCATCTCTGCCGGGCGATCGGCCTCACATCCGAGCTCTCTATCAACACAACTTCTAATACGTCCAATACATCCAGACATAGACAAATTATTTCCCTGTTTCCCTCCACAGGATTCGCTAATACATGTTTTCTAGAACCGTGAGGGAAGCAAAAAGAACGCCGCAGAAGCGGGATGGTGTCTTGGGCTCCGAAGTCACAATTCTTACTAGCTCTATCAGTTTCCCTTAACTCCTAGAACCTCAGTTCCTTTTTTTTTTTTTTTAGCTGACACTTACACAGTGCTTATGATATACAAGATGCCAGCCCATTTAGTCCTCATCCCAACCCTAGGTGGTAGGTGGCATTATCTTTTCCCAGATAGGAAAAGTGAGGCACAGGCAGGTTAGGCAACTTGCTGAACATCAATCGGCGAGTGGCAGGGCCGGGGTTTGGCTCCGGAGCTGCTCCGGAGCTTGGGTGTGTTCACTCATAGCAGGGTTTGAGAGCTTGCGAACCACAGTATCTGTCTTGCAAGGAGGACAGGGCAGGGGCTTCTAATCTTGTACACAGAGGGAGTTCGTCTTGTTTCTATTCTTAGGTTGTCCACCCAACCTCCATTTCCCCTTTTCCATCCTAACAGAACACAGATTTTACACATGTCTCTGCTCCTCCGTGTCTCTTCCTGGCCTATTGATAGCGGTATCCTACTTTCCTTTGGGAAAGCTGCCCTTCCCTGCTGGACAATCTATTGGGATTGTAGAGCAGGCAAGTCCTCACTGAGAGGTGGACATAGGCCTCAGGATGCGCCAGGCAGGCTTCCTCTCCATGGCATTTGAATTTTGAGCAGAGACAAAAACTGAAGATAATTAGTCCTGAGCTATCACAGGAGGCAGCAGGTGTAGTGGTTCCCCCACTTCCTCGTTAGGTGGCTTTGAGCAAGTCACAGAACCTCCTGAGGGCTCACTTTCCCATATGAAAGGGGACACTAATAGTCTGTACGCAGAGGGCTGTCCTTAATTGAATTGGAAACTGAATAGTGCTTAGAACAGAACCCTGTAGAGTAAGCAGCCACTGTTAGGACTAAACCAGGTGCCCTGAAAATAGCCTTGAATCTTGCTACTTGGATTGAGGCACTCGGGCGGCCGAGTTCCCATCCTTTTCCAGCTTGGCTGTTTCAGAGTGTCCTATGGCCTTCGGGGAAGGCCTTAGCTACTTACCCCTGCCTGATACAGCCACCCTCCCTCCCTCTTCCTGCACACCCACGTCATTTCCCAAGAGCCTTTGCTCTTCCTGCCTCTGTTGTGTGATTCCCTCTGCCTAAACCTGTGCTGCTTTGTACAGCTGTGCAGGTTGCCCACTGCACGTGGGTGCCTGGCTGTGGTGGTCTGGGGCTGCCTTTTTCTTTTTTTTTTTTTCTTTTTGTCTTTTTTTCATGACCGGTAACGGGATCGCAACCCTCGGTGTCGCGCCCACACCGCGCTCAACCAGTGAGCGGACCGGTCTGTATATGGGATCCGAACCCTCGGAGGAAGAGCCACCGCGCTCCCAAGTGCCGCACTCTACCGAGTGTGCCACCGGCTGGCCCAAGGGGCTGCCTTTTTCTAATTCACACTATGAGGGCTGCACTTGCCCTGGTGAACTGTCCTCCCTTTCCTCTACCCAGAAAACTTCTAATCCTTCACTCCCAGCTTTAATGTCACCTCCCTGGGAAGCCCGCCTGAACTCTTCCAAATGGAGTTAGTTGCAGCCTGTCCTGTGCTTCTATAACTCTTTGCACATCCCTTTGATATAGCAGCAGTTAACCCTCAATTGGAATTATTTTCCTTTCTGTCCCCCACTGGACTGTAGGTTCCATGTATTCTCTAATACTCCTGAATTAACAAATGACAGCCAGGAATCAGGGCAAGGAGTGTTTATTCTTACAGCTGAGCAAAGGATGAGGCCCACAGCCTTGTTAGCATCAGAGGTAGTCCCCTCTCAGCCCCAATCCTCTCCTCTTGGTATGGCAGCCACAGGGCAGGTGAGGAGCCAGAGTGACAGCTAGGGCACAGCCCTCCTGCCACAGGAGCCAGTGGCCACAGAGCAGCAGCGGGCAGCAGTAGCAGCAGCAGGTTATAGAGGGGAACAGGGAGTGTTAGTCCAGGTGGCTGACTCCATCCCCCCATGGATGGTGTTTGATGAGGGCTGGGGGGCCTGGATTGCAAGGTGGGGGGCACCTGGAGTGGCTCAATCGGCTGTGAAGATGCGGCTGGAAATGTCATCCAGGAGCCAGTCAATGCCAAGCAGCAGGTTCTCCCCTGTCACAGCACTGCAGCCCTGAATGCACCAGTGGTGGCTGCGGATGGAGTCCAGTTCCAGGGCCTGGGAAGACAGAAGATGCTGGTTGGAGCCAGTGACCACAGATCTGCCATCCCTCAGCCCCTTCCCTCTCCTGGCCCAGAACTCCACGTCTCCCTCAAGGCCTTGTTCAAGGGTCACCCCATCCAGGAAGTGTCCCCTGGCCCCTGGTGAAAATTTGTCAGCCCCCTTGGAGCACCTGGGCTGTCTGTACAGTGCCACCCCAGTGCTGCCCCTTAGGGATGTAATAGATGGGATCCGAACATGTACTAGGACCCAGGCATTGCACTAGGGACACTACATGTCCTCTCATCCATTCCTCCCAAGGCCTCATGAGCCAGGGGTTGTGCTGGCCATTTTACCAAGGAGAAAACCAAAGCTCAGAGAGGTTAAGCAACCTGCCTAAGGTTTCACAGCCAGCAAGTGGCAGAACCAAGACTCAAACAAGATTCTAAGCCTGGTTTTAAATCCTGGCTTGTCTACTTACTGGCTGTGTGACTTTGGGTGATTTACTTAACCTCTCTGAGCCTGCTCTGCCATCTGTAAAATGATAATAATAGTTCCTATCTCATGAGGTTGTTTTGAGAATGAAATGAGTTAATCCACGCAAAACACATTGCACAGAGAAAGGACTTACTATCTGCTGGCCACTGTTATCCTGTGGAATAATCTATTTGTAGGTCTGCCTTCTTCCACACTGTGGGCCAACACTACACCTTATTAATCACTGAATCTCCAGTACTCCGTATAGGTCCTGCCACATAGCAAAGGTTACTAAATGCTTTTTAAAGATTAATAAAGAAACGCGTGCCATTTTCCTTGGTGAGCCTGCCCTAAGGCCCAGACTCACCTCGCGAATGGCGTTAGAGGACAGTGCTCCAGGCAGGTCCTGCTTGTTGGCAAAGATGAGGAGGGTTGCTCCAGCCAGGCGCTGTGGGAGAGAAGATAGAGGGCTGGAGTGGGGGCTCAGACAACAGCCTGACCCCTCCTCTAATGGCCCAGAGCATCTGGGGTCAAAGATCAACCTGGGGGAGAGGGGGCTGGCCAGTTAGCTCACTTAGGAGAGCGTGGTGTTCATAACACCAAGGTGAAGCATTCAGATCCCCATATCGGTCAGCTGCTAAAAAAAAAAAAAGTCAAAAAGTCAACCTGGAAGATTTGGACAAGGTCCCATGGTGGTGGGAGAGGCCCAGGTGGGGTGGGCAGTATAGACACAGCCATTGAGGCTGGCCACACATGGGGTGGAGGGAGCCCTGGGCTGGGCTAGGTTCTGGTTCCAGCTAACCACCACCCAGTGGGCACTTCTCTCCCCATACCTCAGTTTCCTCTTCCATAAACAGAGAGGGGGTGTTGGACAAGATGATCCCTGAGCCCTCTGCTGTACTAGACTGCTCAGATATGATGACCTGACATGCACAGAGAATGGGAGCATCCCAGAAGCCCATGGGGTCTGCTGGAAGTGACCTTCCCAAGTTCAGGTAGCCTTTTAACTGTTCCACTACTGACAGGCTTCACTCTCTGCTTCTGATTCTAGTTATTGCCATATATGTGTTTGTGACTAGGAGTCCCTTCATGTGGGTGGGAGGATCTAACCCTCTGGGCCTCGACCTGCTTGGGTTGGCCTGGGTTCAGCATTTTTTTTTTTTTTTTTAAAAGATGACCGGTAAGGGGATCTTAACCCTCGACTTGGTGTT